CTCTCTCTCTCTCTCTCTCTCTCTCTGTCTCTGTCTCTGTCTCTCTCCGTCATCTCCAATATAGTCGCTATCTACCTTGATAGAAAGAGGAAACTGAATGGAGACTCACCGACAACGGGATAATCAGGCTGCAGCAACCTGATGTCATCGAGAGCGATTCGGCCGCTGTCCCCGTCATCGAACTCCACGCTGACGAATTTCTCGTCAAGCTCGGGGTCCGGCTCCGACGGTTCGACCGAGGTACCCGGGTACAAGCAGCGATATTGTTGGCTCCAATAGGCGCATAATCTTGTACCAGGTGGTAACTCTTTCGTCGATGTGGGACAGACTTCGACGATCTGCAAACAACGATGGACAAATTGAAAAAGTGAATGGATTTCCGGGGCGAGTTTACGTAAACGAGAAAGAAGAACACGAGAAGAAACTGAAATGGACGTTAATTTACCGCATCTCGCAGGATCTCCTCCCTGGAATGGATGTGAGGCCTGTTACCCCGTTCACCATCTAATGTGATCGCATAAACGTCAGGGGCCTGAACCGCGCTCAGTCTTCCGGCGTAAAATAGACCGCCCATCGCAGTTAAGACCCTAAGTTGGTCTATGGCCAAGTATGCTGACGTTAATTTGCATTTATTGATGGTCTCTGTTTTTTCCGTACGGGCAGCCTTTGCACATTCTTTACATTCGAGCGACTTGCGGCGTTTCGATTCCTTTTTGTCGCTCGATTTGCTACGCCGTGACGGGGACGAAGAACTGGATTTGCGTTTTTTCTTCTTAGGTTTTTCGTGCTTCGCCTTTTCCAGTTCTTTCTCGACCAGCTCGGTCGCGTCGATTGGGGTGTCCTGGCGAATCAAAAAGAAAAAAGAAAACAAAGAAATGTATAGTAGCGGAATTGTTTTTTTTTGTTTTTGAAGATATAACGGAGGATTAAAGATTGTATTATTCGGAGCGTTAATCCAAGCTATTTCTGAATTTTCCCCATAGACTGACAAGCTCTATTAAGAATGTGAAGAAACTGTACTTGTGTGTGTAAAGGACGATCAATATATACATATACACGTTCAAACTTATTATTCAAATTTATGTTTCGACTATCTGTTGAAAATCATTAACATTAAAAATTGAATTGATATTCTTTATAATTTTAATGATAATATAGATTGTATAATGATATTGCAGTATCTATTGTTAAAAGACAAGAAATATAATAATAATTAATCAGATGTATTTCAAAGTTAATGTAAAAAATTATATTGGAAGAACAGAAGAAAACTTTTATGTAACATCTAATATGACTTTTGAAACAAGAAATAAAATATATAAAGTATGTATGACAAATAAAAATGAAATAAAGTATTACAAAAATTGAAACATTTACTACTTATTGTTATCTACAAGTTATTGTTATATACTTTCCTGGAACACAAAAATAAGATCTCGAAACATTCCTATTATAATGCAATCTTTTCTCCAACTTTATATCTTTCAGTCTATCGATATTAATAACTTTTTGTTACCTATATATACATAACTTAGAATGTGAATTTCATACGTTTCAAAATTTCTATGGACATCGCTATATCGGAAATAGACGCTAAAAAAACTTTGTTTTAACGTATATCATAACATACTCTATTTTGAACGTTATACGTATTCTTCCATATTAAATATCTATCATGAACACAGTTTTGCAATTTTCAATCTTCCACGAAAACATGAAATCCACATCTTAATGATACTATATAATATATCACAATATGTTATATGTTTATTCGATTAAGCTAATAATTTAATTCGTATTTTTCATCGGCACAAAAAAATTCATCGATCTATTTCGAGATATTTATGATTCAGCCCCGTTTTTTCATGTTAACAAGAAATCCTAACCGTTTACCTCGATATAACGAAGTTATTGTGGATTATTTGTTGTGAATATTGGTCGCTGACCCACGAGCTTGTTTTGATCGATGTCCTC